TTCCTTTACAGCATCCTATGTATCTTTCCTTTATGTCTTGGAGAAAACAATTTTTGGAGGGAAAATTGTCCATTACTAAAAGAATTAATAAACATATATATATATATACTATTTAATTATTTTTTTGAATATAATGTAGTACATGGGAATCAAAGATGTTTACTTTTTCCTTCTTCTCTCTCTGGTGTGAGACGAAATATCAGCGACAGTCCAAACCGTCCTTTTCAAGCGCGTGGCCGGCGCATGGCGGCATAGATAGCGCCGGCGTCGGTCCCTCCTGTCCGTTTCTTTATGTTTTCGTCTCTAGCTTAGTTTCCTTAGTTTGTTTGGATCTATGGACGTTATTGGCGAGGTGAAAATATCTTTTGGGTTCTCAGATCTGAAAGGGCTTTTGGTCAAAGGTTCGATTCGTCGGAGCCGTTGGCCGTTTGTGGGGTTGGAGCGACCGTTCTCGGTCTTGTCTTGCGGTGTGGATCAGCAGCTTGCAGTTTGAGGGGTTGTGGTTTGTGTCGGAGTTTATGTCTCTCTCCTTTGTCGGTTCAGATTTGGGCTCCGACGAAGGCGTCTTGTGGTAGTGTTGGCCGCGGTTTTGGTTCGCTCATGGTCTGGCCATCTTCCCTTTCTTGGTGGTGGCAACGGTATCTGGTGGATTAGGGTTTGTGGTCTGGTTTGTGCCACTTTATGTCTTCGTTAGCCTTGTTCTCTTCAATTCTCTTTTGGGTCCTTGTCTTTGTGCCTTCATTGTTGGTTCGTTGGGTGCGGTTTTGGAATTGGCTCTATATTCAGTCTTTTGTGGTCTAGTATCTTTGTTCTCTTGCCTTCTCTATGCCATGCCGAGTTTGCTTGATTTTCGATCCGGTTTGCTCTCTTGCCGTCTCCAGTTTAGGTTTTTTTGCAGATTGTTGGGCTCGGTCCTTGTCTCTACGGTCTAGACCTGATCGAGGTCTTTTATTGCATAGGTATTTTTCTAGGCGTGGACATTTTGTGGTTATTTCGTTTGCTTCGAATTTGCCTTTTCCAGGAGTTGTGTTTGAGTTCTTGATGTCTTTCGACATTGTTCTCTACTTGCTGGTAAAGATGCTTTAGTTCTCTTAAATTTGTGAGGTAGTCTTCATTGTTAAAGGAAGAGCCGCTGTTCGATGTCGTGGATTTTCTCGTCTCCATTGGTTAGCCACTACTTCAAGCTTTTCTCTTTGTTGGTTTGATGGTAGGCAAGGTGTTTAGTACTAGATTCTGAGTTAGAGTGATATTTCATGTTCCTTGTGCCTCATTGCCTTCTTTGTTTTGGCTTTGTTGTTCAATTGTAGTGTTGTTGTCTGTTTCCCATCCTTTTGGGCGTAGTTTCCGAGGATATCTTGTCATCCGTCGGCTTAGTTTCCGGGATCATGTTTTCGATCGTCGGCTCCTTGTATTTCATCTTGTATTCCATCAATGAAAATCAAAATTCCAGTGAAAAAAAAAAAAAAAGTAGTACATGGGAATAGTTTTTCCAAAATTTTAATTTAGGGGCCGATTGGTAACGACTGTTACTATAGACTTTTACTGTAAAATTTTGGCTGTAGAGATTTCGGCTGTAAAGACTGTAACTGTTACTTTCAGTTTTGATAAAAGTCTGATTGGCTGTTGAGACTACGACTATTATTTTCAAAAATCGATTTGTGATAGAAATATTTATTTTAGCATAATTAGTAAATTTAAAATCACATTGACCAAAATTTTTTTTGATAATTATATCAAAAAATAAATATTCAAACACAAAAAGAAATTACAACACTAAAAAACTCATTTTTTTATCATTTCACAAATGTTTCTTGATATACTAATATGGGCTAATAATAGTAATCATTTATTTTTATTAATTGCACAGTTTTAATTAGTCAATAAATATATAATGTTTAATCGTTAAAAATAATCAATAATATGGAAAAAACACTTTTATAGAATTACTTATGTAGTTACGTTGAATTAAAGTAATGTTTTTGTATGTCTTCAAACATATTATTAATTAAATTTACGTATTTACAATTTGTTTTTATATTATCAAATAAATTTATGTATTTTATTAGTCTCTTTAAAATATTTATATTTAGCTAAATAATGTTATTGCTAACAAAAGATAGGTGTCATTTATTAAAGAAGTAAATTTTCTCTTCTTTTTTTTTGTACAGCAACCAAAAGTCCCGTTTTTGTGACTTTATAAAAAAAAAGGAAAAAAAAAAAGAAAATAGGAAGTTGAGGGCAGTTGCACTGTGAGGACTTTAAGAATAAGAAAAAGTCACTAGAGTCTGACTGGTGAAATGCAAAACTGTAAGGGCTATATGTGAAAGTACAGTCGGCACAGTCTCTTGCCAATCAACCCCCTAGTTTCGTTGTTAAATAGATATTGAGTCGAAAACAATTATAATAAAAACAGTTTTGCATCATGCTTGAAACTCTTAATGTTTTTAAGTATATTTATTTATTTCAACACTATATGGTTATATTAAACAATTTAATTGAATTTTACCCCAAAAAACTTGGTTAACAAAAATAATTCTTAAATGTTGTCAAATATTTAGTTCGTTGATAACTCGTAAAATAACAACATAATTTTAGACTATGAATGTGGCATGAAAAAAGTACAATGCTAAGCGACTCAATCACACAATTTTCACTTTGTGACCAATTGCGAATTTTGTTTTATTTGTGGTGCGATGGAATGATATAGTGTTGTTTAAATGAAATGCAAATATATTTTTTCCTGTTTTATCGAAGGTTAATTTATCTTGTTCTTTAACGCTCATTTTTTAATTAAATTAATTAATTTTAACAATAAATTAAAATAAATCTTTTGATCAACTACACGTTAGAAACATATTTATAAATCTTTTGATTATCCTAATTGTTAGAAATTAAAAGAATTAACAAAATTTACTTGGTTAAGACTGATTCTGTTTGATACGTTTACTTTGTATAGTCACATTCTGTTCTACTTGATCTACTGAATTAACATTACCCAATTTGATGTCACCATTATATTCAATCTTATAGTACAATAATTTTTGTTAAAGACCTTATAGTACAATAGTTGACGACAATAAAGTATCTAATGGTTACAAAATAGTGAGAAAATATTGTCAAACTAAGTGGATCGGCTATGCATTTGTCAATTGTTTTTGTATATACAAAGTTAATTAAATTGAGACCAGGGAACATTAAAACGTCAAATCATTTAGACAAAAGTATAATTGTAGTTGTTTGGATAGTAGTTTTATTTGATGTACTGATAAGTTGTTTTAATTAGTAACTGATCTCATCTTAATTAGTTGGCCTAATGCACCAACAACTCGAGTGAGCTGCAAACATATATAATTCTTATTTCATTATGTTTTAAGCAATCCAAATAATTTATTTTCGTTATTTATTGCCTGTTTTTCTAAATTTGACTCACTTAGTCACTTATATAGTTGGTACCAAACTCATATTCATTTACTACTTGCATTACAGTCTTATAAACTATTTAGTGGCTACGTAAAAAACGAAAATATAATTAATTATCATTTGTAAAAACGATTTACATAATCTATTTAGAAGTTGAAATATAATTAGCAAGTTCTGATATATAAAAAAACATATGTATTTTGAAATGACTATAGTTACATGATACTCTAGATCGACCATTTAGGTGTAAAGACAGTAAAACTTTGATTTTTTTTTTAATAAAATATAAGATTAATATAATATAATATAAAATAAAATAAACCTAAGTAGAATATGAATGTGTAGAAGTAATCAAACAATAGGAATAAGTACAGAAGTTAAGAGAATGTAACAAGAAAAGAAACAAAAACAAAACGTAGGATCCTAATAATCCTATGAGTGTAGAAGAAACAGAACGAGACAATGTGCAATGCGATGGTTCAACAACTCCCACTTACATTCCAACAAGCCCATACAATACAATAGTTTTTTTTCACTTTTTGAGTAACTTTTCTTTGATAGGTCATCAGCAATATATATTATAATTTGATATTTGGAAGTCGTTCAAATGTTGACAAAATAGTAGAAATATATAATATACAGTTTTGTCTCCTTTTGTTTTCGTTTTTCTCGTTTCACCACAAAAATAGTAACGGAAGATTGTTTTAAACTCTGGCTTGTCGTTGTACATATCATTTTTGACTTTTTACTTTTCAGTCTTTTCTATATATCAATTATCAAAGACTCTTTGTTTCTTGGAGATTGATACTTTTTTGTAACGGACGGTCTTTTTTACTTGACATGCAAAGTCTCTACGGGTAGTCAAAGCTGTGTCAAATTCTGTGTTACATACGAGATCATAAGTGATCTTAAGCTGTAAAGTTTACTAAGTGAGTTTCATATAAAGAAATATTTGGGTTTGATGATGTGTAATAAGTCGTATTGAAAAGTGTGTAATTCGAAAGATTCTTACATTCCAGTTATATCTATGTAGTTCACCAATCTATACCACAAACCCTGTGGAAATAGAACTAATGCAGTATTTTTGTTTCATTTTATAAAATGTTTTGACATTTATTTTCTATCGTAGAAGTAAACTTATATATATGATATTTCATAGCTTCTAAACTTACCCATATAATTTTATATTCTTATTAGTAGCATCATTTATAAGATAGTCATTTATAAGATAGATAATTAGATATAAATACATTAATTCTCTAAAATATTACATTTTTAAGTTTTTGTTCCAAAAATATCATCATAAGTTTTTTTATTCCAATAATACCACAAATTCAATATTAAAACGAAAAAATATCTTTTAAATAGTGAAAATATAAACCATAAATTGAAATATGGAGCTCAAATATAATTTTAAATTTTATTTGTAATTTATTTTGGTTGAACAAATAATTTTACGTATATCGATAACCCACGTAAAATGTTATGCTTTTAATGCAAAAGAGAAAGTCCCTAAAAATTAAAAAAAAAAAAACAAAAAGCTTAAAGATTGCTAAAGGCTAAGAGAGGTGATGATGTGAGATTCTTCTCTCTAGGGTCAAAAAGTAAAACCCACACTCTTTTTGCTCTTCTGCTGTATTTCTCTGTGTACTGGCGCGTGAGACAGAACATCAAATCTTTGCTACATGTCTTTGGTCGTATCCGTATATATGTTCTTCTTCTTCTTATTATAGCAGAAAGAAAAAAAAAATAATCGCTTTCATAAACTCAAGATTTGTTTTTTCAATGGTGGAAGAAGACAAGTCATGTTTTTTTTTTAGTTTTCTTGGAGTTTAGTTTCTTCTTATGATTCATTCATAAATCTGAGGAAATTTCTCAAATCTGTTTCTTTCTCTTTCTCTGAAGTCAAAACCCAACTAAGAGATTCCTCTTCTTCTTCTTCTGGTTCTCTGTTTGAGATCAGTTACAATTTGAGCTTTGTTTCTAAGTTCTAAGTTCTTAGAGATGGGATTTGAAGACAAGAAAATGCAGAGACAGAGACATAAGCGTTCAAAGAGGTTTGTCAATTTTGAGACTTTCTTCTTCTTTAGCTCTGTTTTAGCTTCAATGTTACTTGTTTCTGGGTAAAATGAGAGATTTCTCAAATTCGACAACTTGGGTGGTTAATATTTACCCAGATGCAATGCTAGATGAGTTAAAGTTTGAATCTTTGTTGAAGAATTTAGGTTTTAGGAGTTAAAGATTGAAGCTTTATGTACTTGTTATAGAAATGTGGTTTTGTTGAACAGAATCTTTGTTTCTCTCTTGTGGGTTTCAACTGTTTTTGATTGATTCTTTGAATCTTGATTCACTTGTTTTAGTTGTACTGTGTTTGAAAAGAAAAAGCTTGAAGATGAGAATAGCATTGATTCTTCTCTGGATGCTTCTCAACGCCTCAAGCTCGTGAGTGTCCTTTTGATTTATGACTTTTTAAAAGCTTATTTAGAACAACTGATTCTTAGTTTCTCTTAACTTGTTTTTATGTCAGGACTTACCTCGTTGTTGCGATAAATCTGTTGAAACAAAGAAGGATCTGTCCCCTGATGTAAAATTCAAGAGCTCTCTGAAGCAAGAGGTTTGTATATTGTAGTCCAAGATTATTTGTTTTCATTCACATTGTAATTGATTTCTTTATGATCTTTGGTTATATTTAGATTCAAGAGCTTGAGAAAAGATTACAGAACCAGTTCGATGTCCGTGGTGCGTTAGAGAAGGCATTAGGCTATAAAACGCCTTCTCGAGACATCAAAGCCGACTATACTCCAAAGGTAAATAATCGGTTTCTTATAGGCGACACAATGTTGATGTTGTTGCAGCTCATGAATGAGTTTTTATATTTTCTTGCAGCCTCCAACAGAATTGATCAAGGAAATCGCGGTGTTAGAGTTGGAAGTTTCACATTTGGAACAGTACCTTCTATCTTTGTATCGTAAAGCATTTGATCAACAAACATCTTCTGTATCGCCACCAACATCGAAACAACAGAGCTCGAGTTCACCTAAATCTACTCTCAGAGGAAAACGTCTAGACTTTTCAAAAACACCTGAAACTCGGTGTTTCTCATTTGACAACAGACTGAAGAGTCCACGTTTGGTGGAGAAGGAGCTAGAGTCTCCTAACCTTAGATGCAGACAAGAAAGCTTAGCCACGCAACCTCGATGTTTCTCATTTGACAATAGACTGAAGGAACCTGGTTCTGCTGGTCGACAATTCAATCAAGAAGACGCAAGAATCGATTCTCAGTGTTTCTCCTTTGACAATAGAGTGAAAGAACCCGTTTCTGCTGCTCGACAATTCAATCAAGAAAGCTCATTATTTGATTCTCAGAGTTTCTCCGTTGACAATAGACTGAAGGAACCCGGTTCTGCTGCTGCTCGGCGATTCATTCAAGAAAACTCAACAATTGACTCTAGGTGTTTCTCTTTTGACAATAGACTGAAAGATCAATGTTTTATGGAGAAGGAGGACATCGATTCTTGTGTTCGTCGTTGCCAGTCCTCTCTTAATCAACGTTCCACCTTCAATAACCGAATATTTACACCAGAAGACTCGGTATTCACGTGCCACTCCCAACCATTGTCTATACAGAAAGTAAGTCTCAATGCAATGGTTCTATTTTCTTGTATTTACATTAAACTTTATAAAGTCTGTATCTTTACTCACTTTTGATGCAACAGTACATACAAAATGGATCAAATGCTGCAAGCCTTGCAGAACACATGGGAACTCGAATATCCGATCACATATTTATGACTCCTAACAAGTTATCAGAGGAGATGATAAAATGTGTATCGGCTATATACTCCAAGCTAGCTGATCCACCATCGATAAACCACGGTTTCTCATCCCCAAGTTCATCTCCATCATCAACAAGCGAGTTTTCGCCTCAAGAACAGTATGATATGTGGAGTCCAAGCTTCAGAAAAAACTCGTCTTTCGATGACCAATTTGAATTCAGTGGACCTTACAGCTCAATGATTGAAGTGTCACACATTCATCGAAACCATAGGAAAGGACGCGACCTTGACCTGATGAATCGAAACTTCAGGTCAGCCTTTAAATAGCAGCTATCCAAAGTTTCCATTGTTCTTTCATTCAATCCGTATACTGATTGTAGTCATTGGTTTATATTTATACAGCTTGCTTATTAAGCAACTGGAAAGTGTTGATCCAAGAAAGCTGACTCATCAAGAGAAACTGGCGTTCTGGATTAACGTACATAACGCGCTTGTGATGCATGTACGCAGTTTTCTCTCTGTTTCTTTGATCTAACATTTGTCTTCTTGTTACGACAATATCTTAACTTATACTTGGTTTTCACCATTGCAGACATTTCTGGCAAGTGGGATTCCACAGAGCAATGGGAAGCGGTTTTTACTACTCTCCAAGGTAATAAAATCAACACTTTTCTTGGTTTGCTTCAAAAAGACAAGCGGTTTTGAATGAATACTAAAAGTTTTTAGTCTCTGCTTAACATTTTCCAGCCAGCTTACAAGATAGGAGGTCGCATGGTAAGCGTAGAAGCGATAGAAAATTATATTCTTCGCATCAAGATGCCTCGTCCTGGCCAGGTAGGGCTGACTTCTCATGTATCTCAAAAATACAAATTGTCTATGTGACTGTCTAAAGCTTTCTCTTTTTTATTTGTAGTGGCTGAAGTTATTACTCATTCCGAAAAAGTTAAGAACCGGAGACGTAAATCAAGAATATTCCCTCGAACATTCGGAGCCTCTCTTATACTTTGCCCTATGTTCAGGCAACCATTCTGACCCTGCGGTAAGTAGGGAAAGCTTACACTTTTGTTACCTTCTTTGAAGATTAAGAGATCTTGAATTTGTTTTCTTTGGCTGTAGATTCATGTTTATACGCCCAAGGGAATATACCAAGAGCTAGAAACCGCAAAGGAAGAGTACATTCGCGCAACGTTTGGGGTTAAAAAGGACCAGAAACTAGTCTTACCAAAGATCATTGAGTCTTTTAGCAAAGACTCAGGTTTGAGTCAAGCAGCATTGATGGAGATGATTCAAGAATGTCTCCCGGAGACAATGAAGAAAACCATAAAGAAACTTAACTCGGGGAGATCCCGAAAGAGCATTGTTGAATGGACGCCTCATAGTTTCGTGTTTCGGTATTTGATAGCCAGAGAACTTGTTAGATGAGAGATTTATATGGTCCTTTTGGTAAGGTTTTTTTTATTTGCAGGACTCTGTTTCTTGTAATGTTATTGGTGAAGTAAGTATATAGGAGAATGTATTGGGAGTGTAGAGACTAGAGAGTAGAAATAGAAATAGAAGAGAAACTGCATGCCGTTTTTCGGTTACCAATCCGGGATGATGTTTTGGCTTGTGTTATCTTTGCTTTAGAAGAATAAGTTGTACTGTACATAAAAAATCAATTCCCTTATTTTTTAAATTTATTTGTTATAGTAACTGATAATGTCTTATTTTTCAGCAAGTTTAGTGTAGTCGTTAAGCTATCGATTCATCTCCAATGATTACATACTCGTTAGTAGTATCTCATCAATATTATAATATATTTTTAATATTTAATTATAAATAATAAATAAAATTGAACCAATTATATTGAAATAAGTGGCATATAGGTTCTAAAGAGGATACTCATTCTTTCTCATTTTTGATTACTTTTATTATTTTAATCTTAAGAAACTCGCTAAGACTTCTCCGTTAAAGATCTTCTTAGACCATTTGTAACCAAATTAGAACCAAATTTTCGATTCATCTAGTAAACCCAATTAATAAGCTTATCGGTTTGTGGATTACCATTATGAATCATAAGTTGAAAGTAATAAATGATCTTACCTAACGGTTTATTTCTCTTACTCTTAAATTGTTTTAAGTTAAAAGATCATATACTTTTGTTTATCAATAATTCGCCACATATGTTTTATCGAATTTAAATTCATATGATAATCACAACGACAAAATTAATGTAAACTACTAAATTCCAAGTTTAATCACCCAACAATTAGATAGTAAAAATATCAATCCATGGTTTCAATAATAATATCTAAAAACCAAAAACTTTGAACCGAATCGAACTAATATCTTTTAGTCACGCCCCATATGAATCTAATGTACATTGGAAAACAATTAACCATTCTTATCATACCAAAGTCTAAAGAAAATCGATGAGTGGTTTTGAAAGATCAAAGACATAAACAAACTCAAAAGCTTTTTATTTGTGGGATATATTATATACACACTTTCAATAAAATTTGTTGGATAGCTTTATAACGTAACCTTTTTTTTTTCTTTTGTCAAACTTCTCTTTGTCTTTTTTTCTTTTCTTTCTTTTCATGTTGTTTGGAATTTACTTTCTTGTTCATATATATAAGTACACTTTAAAGTGCTCATATATATAAAAAGAGTGTTTACTCTTTAAGTTTCGCATATTTATGTCTGGTTTTAGCCTTTTTTATTCCATCATATACAAAAAAGAAGAAGAAGAAGTGGGCTTTTAAAAGTAGGCCATGATGGTTTGGCACCGCACAAAGGCTCTACTTTGTAAGCAGCCAAACAGTTTCATTTCTTCTAATGATATTAACAGTTTAGCAAAAAAAAAAAATTAAAGTCATGTCCAAACTTATTACTCCCATTCTCTTGTTTCCCATTCATTATTTGCTTTCCACCATTTGCTAGTGTAGTTGCATGCATACACACATAGGTGGACCAAAATAAAAGGTAACAAAAAAAACAAACAAAAAAACTGAACCCAACCGAATCAAATTATTTAGATTTTAATATCTTTCCAAATTTTTTTTTGTATATAACGACAACGAAACCACCAACCGAACCGAACCAAACCATATTTAGATTAATATCGTTCCGAATCTTGTGTATAAACCGATTATTATAACTAATTCGGAAGCAAAATAACCAAACCGCATTGAAACAATTTTAGTGTCATAGAAAGCTAAAATCAAACAAGATCCAAACTGTAAACCAATCCGAACGAAATCAAAACTACATCAACCGACTATAATCAAACCCAATTATAAATTGGTTTTCATTGGTTCAGTTTCTGTAGAACCAATCAAACCGAGATATAAACGAACTCAAAACCAAACCGGATCACCCATAAATATATACATACATGCATACGCCATAGAGATCTCACATCGAATCAGAAATCAAGTACGTGATGTGGTTCGATCAAATAGTTTATCAATCAATAGCTGTAAGCCTGTAATCCCAAGAAATTGACTTCGTCATAATGCATGGGACCAAATCGGGTGATGCGTCTCAAACCTAACCCCTAGCGTGTGTAGGGTCTCTTAAAGTCAAATTACTTGAGTCTATGTGATGTTTCATTGCAGTTAGTCATATTTGGTTGATTCATATTGTGTCACTATTTATCCATTACCAATCAAAATCCAATAAATGTTGCATAGATCTAATTTTTTATATTAACTTCTTATTCTTGCCTAAATTGTATATCTAAAGGTGTCATTGATAAGTTTTGGAGTAAAATGAAAGAAATGAAAAATCAGCGGAAACATGTTTATTTTACAAAAACTTGAAAAAAAACCTGTACTCTTTTTTCTTCTTCTTTTCAATTAAAGTGAGGTGAATAATCTTTTTTCTATTTTAAATCTGATTGACTAAAATAATAAAGAAAACCAAAACATTATTTCAGCTGAATTTTTACTCTAACATACATTAACAGTTATACTCTTCACAAATTTTCAACTACGGACTAAAATTATTGACCATGTGAAATGACAATTCTCAATTGTTTACTGTAAATGTTTAACAAAAAAAAAACGAACACTCTTTACAAGTCACATAATTAATATGGCGTTTACTCCATAATTTATTATGGTATAAGAAAATTGTTGTTATTTTTTGTTTGGCCAATCAAAATACTAGTTAATTATAAGTTATAACTTATAAGAATGAGACACATGGTCCTTTCTTATCCATAAAGTATAGTGTGATTGGATTAAACCATGTCCATATTAATCATAATAATAGGGATAAATCAATTAAATTTGGGGTTTAAATGATGGAAACTGACATCAAAACAACTAATACTACTAAACAAGCATATCAGACAGAATAAATAAGGTCAAAAATAAATAGAGTAAACTCTTTATGTGGTGTAGAACAAATAAAATAAATATTGAATGAAAACTATATGGGAAATGCGATACAAATATAAAATTATTGAATTTCAAAATATGAATAGATTTTTTTTGTACAACTATATTTATACATTAAAATCAATCCACATGATTAAAAAATAACAAGTATAAGTAGCTTTCTAATAAAAAATACACTAACACTTTTTGGATGGTTGGAATGCGGTTTTAAATGCAGCTAATAATAATTTGGCATCAAATTAGAACCATATTGTATTTAGATCACCGCATTTAAACTATATCTTTTAGATGAATGGTAACAAAATTGAATTTTAATCCATAATATGAGATTTTTTTGGTAAACCAAGTACAATCACTTTTCCCACGTTACAAAATGCAATTTGCATTAGGCACAAAAATATGTAATGGTCCTCCAATAATAACTACATATTTACAAACTTAACCCTACAATAATAACTACATATTTACAAACTTAACCCTACAATAATAACTAAATCACCAAACTACCCTTCACTCTTCAATCATACTCAACTTCGCCGCATACTTCCTCCTCCCGCTACCACCAACACCGCGTCTTTTCCCATTCCTCGTCTCTCCATTAGATCCCACCGCCGATACTCTCCGAGCAGAAAAGATCACCGGAGCTACACATTTCCGGCGACACCGACATTTATCTCGGCCACAAGAACCACCACTTCTCATTAGAGCAGAGCTAGCTTTAACAGCCAATGCAGCCATTTCCTCGGCTTTAAGAGACTGATGAAGCGAGCTTAGAGGAAGAGCAAAGTAAAGCTGACCAAGCTGAAACTCCTCGTCGGCGCTAATGGCGGATACAACGTTGTCAAAGTCCATATCATCGGAGTTACAAATGAAACACATCGGATTCTTCTGTAACACGTAACCAACTTTGACCGGACTCGTGAACTCCATCATCCTTCCGTCGTGTAAGATCAGCTTCGCCGTCGCGACTTGTGTCGAGTCGTACGAGCTACATATACCCATTGGTTTTGGTTTGACTCAATGAGTCAACTCGGTTTCCGGCGAAACGGGAATAGTAGAAAGGAGATGAGAAGTGTAAGGTGTTTTTGTGTGTATTTATATATATAGAAAGGTGTGCCACGTAGGATTTGATTTGTCTTTTTATGATTGTGTGTTTTCAATATTTATTTTGAAGTTTGAACGACCAGTGGGGGCAATGACAGGCTGTGTAAGTAAGTTGGGAGGATGACAGCTTTGTGTTGTGATTTCTTTGCCATCGATTTTGGTGTATAATTACGAGTTTAGGGACTGTGTTTTAGGAATTGAATTGGTTTGTTCTATTTGACTAATGACGTCTCTTTATTGGGTTAATAGACAGTTTATTAAGGATATAGATAAATGGACCAGTTGATATAAGAATGTAAGTATGTATGTCGCATTCGATAAAAAGTTGAAAAAATATTGTATAGTAAGATGTAAGATATTTAGGCGGAAGCGTTAAACTAGAAAATGTATCTTGATCCGCTTTAATGATAATTGGTTGGAAACAGTCGAAAGTCGGATTAGAGATTGCAAAAAGATCGTATAAATGTTTAAATGTTTTCTTTGATAATTATATATGTTTAAATGTTATTCTGGTTCAATGTTGCATGGAAACGAAAACGGATGCGCGGAAGCGAAACGTTTCAAAAACGGCAAACGATTTTTTTCTAAAATTAGGGATTGGAAACGTTTTGGAAACGCATGCATATATATATATATATATATAACATTAACATAAAACTATATTAAAAATAGTTAAATAATACAAGTCTTAAACATAAGATATTAAATAGGTTAATTAAAATTCTAAAAGATAACTTAAAAGATTCAAGTTCAAATATTTAATTTAGACCAACATTTTCATTCTCATTTTCATTAGTTTCATCATAGATCATATAGAGGTGCCTCCATCTGGTTTATCGAGAGAAAGATCTTAACACTCAGAGTCTTCCAAAATTAGTTATATGTATTATAAATATTAATATTTCTAATTATTATTTATTAAGTTTCCAAAGTCAATAAAAAGGATTTGTTGCGATTTCATTTTGGAGACGTGAGTTTTCATCGTGTTTCTAAACATAGATTTTTAGGAAACGCGTTTCCGTGACTTTTTTTATGTTTCTAAAGAGTTTCCGTTTTCGAAACGGAAAACGGACCTCGGAGAGAGTTTCCATGCAATATAGTTCTGGTTTAAATTTTCAGATCGTATATATGTTTAAATGTTTTTCCGGTTGATTTTTTGAAGCCTTTTTTGTTTCTAGATTTTCTGTTCTCTATCTAGATTTTTTTCAGTTTTTAAAGTGTTTTTTTTTTTTTTGAGCAAAACAGTTTTTAAAGTGTTTAAACCCTAAAGTTTTCTCTCTTATGGTTTTTAATAGAGAGGCGCAAATTGACTATAAACAAATAAATTTTATCAACGAAAGGTATGGTTTGACCAAAAAAAAAAAAAAATCAACGTAAGGTATGGTAGTTGGAAGTGTTAGATAAGGTTTGTTGAAAATATTGAATAGTAATTGTATATTTTGTTATATTACCGTTCAACTTTTGTTCGAGTATATTTGTTATTTTTGTAATTCTATTCTATTTACATCAACCACATATGTTATGTTCGTGATGCATTTAATTTTTAGCCAAAGCGTTGTCTGATGGTGATCGATGTGGGGATGTGTATAAGTTGCATGATCTGAAATTTATTATCTGATAATAACGTATAATAATAATTTTTAAATCATAAAAAAGAAGGACCATGCATTTCATATATGGTTCTCATTTATTAGTATTACTTTCATTTTCGTACATGAAGAGATGATTAGCTTTGACATACACTAAGCCCTATGATTTTGATGGCCAAGAAGCTACGAGATTTAACCATTGAATGTTATTTAATTTCATTGTCGAGCATGTAGGGATGACACAAGACTTGGCAAATTATTCGTTAGATTAGTTTCGATATACTTTTCTTTTTTTCTTAATAACTCTTATCCATCCAATCTTATATATGATTATGGTTTTTGTGGATAGTCTTACTGGTATTTTTTATATTTTACTTTAATATTGGTTAGTTCTTTAAAAAGTAGAGGAATATCTTTAAAAATTTATTTTTACAAATAATAGAATATAAGTGTGATAGCAAAATTAATTGAATACCGACAAATTTCTACGTTAATATTTATCAAAAGACATATATTTAATTTTCTAAAAACAGAAAATTTCATGTCCAAATAAGTCGTTGTTCGTATGGGTTTAGGTCGATCGTGTGAGAAAGTAACATTTTTAACAATAATCCCTATAACTTAACAAGGCGTTAGAAAAAAAGAAAATCTTTAAGAAAATAAGTTGAAAATAAAGTAAAACTAGAATTGGTGGCCTTCACGGGACGGTGGCAAAACAATCTGAGTGATTGGGATATATGACATGGCTAAATCTGCCACGTTATAATAATATGAACGCAATGACGTTTTACGTTAATAAGCGTGTCCTACCTGAAATCGACTAGTTGTTGTAGAAAAGAGGTAATAAGAAGCTTGTCAAGTCCCTTATTACCGGTGACATTTCTTTTCATGATTTTTATTACCATATAGTTTTAAGGGATAATGTTTTCCGCTTTATATGTACTTACTCCCTCCGTTTCAGTTTAGTTGTCGTTTTAAGATTTAAATTTTGTTTCATAATAGTTGTCGTTTTAGATTTTCAATGCAAATGTTTGGTGAAAATTCTAGTTTTATACATACTGTTTTAATGTTTTGGCCAATGAAATTTTTTATAAAATATATTAATAAAGGGTAAAACAAAAAATTTAATGTTTTTCTTAATTGTGTGAAAAAATCTTAAACGACAACTAAAACGAAACGGAGGGAATATAATTTATGTATGAAGTGTAGTTATTAAGAATTGATGGCTGTTTAGCTGTTAAGGAGTTTAAATGATGATGATGATATGATGGGTCAATGGTTTTAATTGTCAACTAAGCACATTGATGCCAACCACAAGTGACTTGTGTTCCCTATTAAACTTCTATTTATTGTATTTTTAAACACTTCATGAATACTACTCCAAAAATTCAACCCACATTAAGACATGTTTGGTCATTACTTAAGGAAAGGTGGATTACAAATTTTAGATTTAAAAATATATACATGATTTTAAGTTTTCTGAGTTTTCTCGTGCAATGGAAGCAGAAACAGATAGGCATGTTGTTGATTTGGAAGTTAAATATTTTAGTTGTAGCTTTGGAATGTCTAATTAATATTCCACTTGTACGTTGTGTTTTTTTTTTTGTTTTTCTTAGAGAATCATTTGGTCTCTTTTATAAATACACTTGTGTCGTGCATACGTGTGCGTAGTTTAGTAATTTATTTGTGAATTGGTTTTAGTTAGGCGTAGTTTTTTTTGTTTGCATTGAGTTAAAAAAAAAACATTTGTTTGCAAATTTTCAGTAACTTATCTTTTAACTTGTAAAGTTTTGCTTTAACAAAAAAAACTTGTAAAGTTTTGCATGAAAGCTTTAACCAATAAAAAAAATGTTTTGCATGAAATGGAAGAAAAAGAACATCACATGCACTACGCTTTTGTAAGATGCTTCATGGACTATATACATTGATCTCTCACCCCCAAAAGTTAAAAATAACTTTTCTGATAAAGTTATTATTTTTGTAATTTAAAAATCTTAAGACGTTGGCTCTAAAAAACATTTTAACGTAAATACTAACACATTTGAGTATTAAAATATTGTTTTAAAAATAAAATTCCAAGGCGATGTCTCATATTTTATTAAAAAAAATTCAGTTTGAGTATGTTTGGTATATATGAAAATGCAAAACACAAACCAAGCGATAAAGTAGATGCTTTGCTTTTTTTTTCCCTTTTTTTTTTGTCTGTTGAAGATTAACGTTGTTACTTTTTTTTCTTTTCCTTCTAAATTTTTCCATTTCTAGATTTTTTTTTTTACTCAGATATTTTATTATCCATATGATAAAATCTGAATTTACATGCATTTTTTTAACTAGATGGGTTTGGATCAAGGCTCTAATCCTTCCACTCCCTCTCCTCACAACCCGAAACCAACTTTTGTACCTGAGTTTGAACTATTAGGAACATAAAATAACCAACTACAGCTGTGCGCTTAACCACTAGCCCAAAACATCTGATGGTATACATTTTATTTGTGTGTTTAACTAATTAAATGTGTTTTGTTTTCTCTAATATATGTCTCTAATATCCAGAAAAATCCCACTGAAAGTTTTCTCGCAAGATATGTCTTACAAGTTGTGGTCTACTCAATCTGGAAAGAAAGGAATGGTCGCATGCACGAGGCAACTCCAAACACAGCTACTCAGCAAACGGTGTGGATCGACAAACAAATCAGAAATTAAATATCTTCCATTCGGCTTCACGGCGACAGGAGATACGACGAGAGTCTCCAACTCTGGTTTCAATCAAGACAATAGAAATTGTTCAAAAACTTTTCTTGTTTTTTTTTTTTTGGTTTTTTCTTTCAAACATTTCTACCAATCGTTGCACTTGATGTAAAAACGTATATTTTTTTCTTTTGAATATAATTTAACATTAAATTCAAAAAAAAAAAAGTGTTTTGTTATAATATTAAGTTACACTTTTCTTTTATTTTTGATACATTTTAAAACCAAAGATTTTGATTGAAGGAAACCAAAACAAAGGAAGATGTTCTTTCTTTTTTTTTTGCTAAAGACAAAGGAAGATGTTACTGAGTAAATCTTCATTTTTATCTGATTTTTTAATACAAATGACAGAAAAAATAGATTAAAACTTTATTTTCCATCGTAAATTTTTGGTTACATCACGTGTGCGCAAGGAATGAGATCCGGAATATTGGTCAAAGCTCTTAACTTGGGATCTAAAGTGTAAATATTATTATGAATTTTTTGCTGTATATATAAGAAACAAGCAAAGTTGTCTAAGAAATTAGTAGGAAGACACCAACCGGCAAATCATGGACTGCAAAAAGAAAGATAAATTGGTATTTGGTATAAGTTTGTTTTCACTTATAAAATTTGGGATTATGAGTAAAACCTTCAATTTAATTTTTGGATGCTTTTGATACAAATTTTGGGAAAAGGGCCTATTTCCATCCCTACTATTTGGACGGTTCCGTTTCCTACCCACACAACAGTTTTCGTAACAAATTTCAAATTAACTACCCATACTCTGTGTTTATAGTTGAATTCAACATTGACTCAAACGGACGTTAGTCAACCGTTAAAATAGTAGAGTCGGATGACACGGTGGCAATTCAAAAGAGGGAAAATGTCCTATTTCCACCCTTACTATTTGAACGGTTCCTTTTCTTACCCACACAACGAATTGGTGCCCATTTCAACAGTTTTTGGAACAAATTTCAAATTAAGCAGAATATCGAGCTATGGGAATGCTCACTGCTGAGCTCTTGTGGATCAAAGGTTTGTTGACGGATCTTGGAGTTGTGATGACACGTCTAATGAGCGTGTTTTGTGATAGTCAAGCTGCGATCCATATTAGTGCTAATCCGGTATTCCATGAGAGGACTAAACATGTTGAGGTTGATTGTCATATTGTGCGGGATGAGATTGTTAAGGGTACTATTTCAACGCAACATGTTTCGACTCATGCACAGCTGGCTGATATCTTCACCAAAGCTTTGGGACAGAAAGAGTTCAAAGATTTTCTCAGCAAGTTGGGTGTTCTTAATCTACACACTTCCAACTTGAGGGGGGGGGGTAATAGAGCCGGATCAAACCCTTGATATCAGGCCTATGATTAGAATCGGATCAGGCCTTTGATTATGGGCTTTATTAGGTTTAATATTTATGTATTTAGGGTTAGTATTCCCTAACTAGTATATATATGTATGTAGCCGTCTTATATCAATAACACAGATTTTTCAGCATCGTTTTGTGTAATTCTGACAACTTTATATTCAGGATTTTATTTAGATTTCGGTGATAGAAGATAAATCTAGCAGCACTAAACATTAAACACATTCTACTAGAATGAAACACCAATAAAAATATCAACACCATCAAGTCTTTAGATATTCATCTATTAATCCTTTATCAAAAAAAAAAGTCTTATATATAATTCGCAAAGATCTACTCTATATTCAGATTTAATATATAGTGACACTGAATTAATGATATATATTTAAAGCATAATTTAGATCACTACAAGAAATATGAGCATTGATAGCACATTGTAATAGCTCATTTTCCGTAACTGTTATTAAAGATGAAATATTGAATGAGGTTATCATATGATAGCACTTCAAAAATGCTAACCACGAAAATGAGTAAGAGGGAAACTAAATTTCAGCGGACAAACCTAAAATCACTATTAGCGGCAAAACTTAGTCAAAAATATTACACTTAGCAACCCAGTTTTTAAAGAATTTCAATTTTTTTTTTTGAACACCAGAAGAATTCTAATTATTTTCTTTCTTTATAAAGAAAAAAATTAAGGCCCTCTCACGTCTCACCTTCAACCCTAAATCCCTCTTTTCTCTATCTTCAAAAACAATTTCACACTCTCTAATCTTCCTCTTGTCTTCGTCGATGACGAGTCCAAAATTTGAAATCCATCTTCTCCTCATCGTCTTCTCCGATTTGGTCTGATTCGAGGTCAAATCTCCTTCATCCTGAGTTGGGTCTGTTGGTTTCTCCATCTATAGATCTAGATTCCCTTGTGGTTCGAGTTATGGAGAAGTTTAAGACGAATTCAAACAAAAGAGAGAACTCCTCAACTTCGATTTCAGAATCCATGGCTACCTCACGATTTTGCTATAGGTGGAGCTTATGGGATTAGATTTGGCTCACAATATGATGTTTCAGAGTGTTGAAAATGGAGGAATCGTGGCGGAGGAGGAGGATCTTGAGCTATTACAAGCCGAATTCTGAAACAAAATCAATTGATGAGAAGGCGAGTGGTGAAGCCGACGATGACGAGATTCTTGAGCTTCTTATTGATAAGATTTTTGAAATTCTTCAAACGAGAAGGAGATGAATCAGAAGTTTCAAAGGAGACGGATAGAGTGAGTGTAGAGTATTACGATCCTATGTGATTTTGTGGTTTGTGTTGTGGTTTCTGTAATTGAAGTTTTTAATTAGGTTTTCTCATTGTTGTTGTAGGGTATAGAAAGAGGTAAGAGTAAAGAAGACCAAATGGATGTCATTCATGCTTATTCCCATCTCTCGATTTCTCATTTCTTACCAACAACACAACTTAATCTTGTTTAGATTGGTTTCTCGTCTTTTACGTGATATATATGTATAATCTAATCATCTGTGTATTTAGCAATCACATCTGTGGTAACAATCTCTAAGATATTTTGAGGAACAATGGATTAGCAATAGAGAAAAGTAAGTAAAATCTCCATTCTTATCATCAACATTTATTATTACGTAAATCATAATTCAAGAACCTATTTCATCTTTGATCTGTTTTTAACAACATGGGTGTTAACGTTGATTGTAGGAATGAAAGAAGAGACAAAAGGAAGCATGGTCCTTCTCGTAAAATTGTGTTTCACATTGTCTCTTTGCTCTGGTAAGTATAAATTCCTTTCGCAAAGATGGAAAACAGGTTAATGCTGCAAATACACTTCATCTTTCTTCAGTTTTGGTCTGTTTATTTGATAAAATCTGAAATGTGTGTGTTTGTTTCTTGTTCTTTTGTTTATCCAGATTGCATACAGTAAAAGATAGATGCTACCTATTATTGATTTTTTTCTTCTTCTTCTTTTTTTCTTTTGCTGCTAGCTCTTCTTGGCTTTCTCCTGTCAAGTTTTCACAAGTCACAAGATTTTTGAGGAGCTTTCTTCCTTCCGAAAATCTTGGGTAAGTTCTTGTTGGCATAAACTTTTCATGATATTTTAGCTCTATCTCATGAGAAATGATACATTGTGTCTCTCTAATTCTTTATGCCATGTCTAATCTTTTCTTTGTTACTAACAAAAATCCATTAAATATTGGGGCAATAGTTTTTGTTCTTTTGTCAGTAAAAGGTTTTGTTTAATATATGCAGTAATCATTTTGAGAGACTACTGGAGAGTAATATGCAAAACTTGTTTGAGAAATTGAAACCTCTTGTGGGTTCAAGAGCTTGGGATTATTGTGTTCTTTGGAGACTAAACGAAGACCAAAGGTTGATTTGATTTCTTTTATGTAGTTAGTCTTTGATTTCTTCTATGTAGTCTCACTTGCTTTACTTATACAGAGACAACCAATAACAAAGAAAAGAACCAAACTGCAGAGGATATGGAGAAGGCAGCGAAGTGTGGACATCAACCTACGTTCTTGGAGGGAGAGAAAGAGCAAACCAATGGAGTTCTTCGTTATTAAGTCCATCTGAATTGCAGTACTTATGATGTTGTTTAAGACCTTGTTTTAACAAATGGTGTTGAGTTATAAACTATGTATCTTTTGATGATCTATGGAAAGAAACATGCTTTTAATAAATTGGTAATTAATTGGATTTCAAATATTTTAATTGAATATAATATATTACCGCATAAAAGGCGACATAAAACAAATTAAAGCATTTTAATAATGCTATGGTAGAAAGCATCTATAATAGCACGAAAAATGATTTATTACATAAAAAAAACAAAATTTAAAGTCGTTATATCAAAGCGTTTAACTAACGCTATGGTAGAATACTCTATCATAACATACGGAAAAAACGCTATCGTACATGGGGGGTCTACCATAACAGGGGCATAAGACAGCGTTTATGAAAACGCTATTGATGACATATAATAGCTTTTCTCTCTTGCTAATAATGTCGATATTTCTTGTAGTGGATCTTGGTAAATTGGTAATTAGATCTCATATAACTTATATAGTTCATGGCTAATGTCAATTATTCAAGATAATTAAAAAACATAGCAGATCAAAAACAGATCTGTATATATTTAAAGGAAATTTTCAACTTTACCATTAAAAAACATAGCAGACTAATTATTATTTTTTGTTATTTCATATCGGACCGAGATATGAATTAATTCACTCACTGTCAACTGATATTTTAGATGAAAATCTATGTAGGCATGTAGCTTTACATTTTTGAATGAGCTACTTTTTTTTCAAAATTACTTTCACAACTATATAGGTGACTAAATTTATTTTATATCTAAATCATGGATATAAAGCCAACTACTGTTTTGTAGTTAATGCTAAATCCTCTTAAAATAATCTTGTCATCACAAATTTCAAATGGTTAATTTGAAATTTGTTCCAAAAACTGTTGAAATGGGCACCAATTCGTTGTGTGGGTAGAAAAAGGAACTGTTCAAATAGTAAGGATGGAAATAAGACTTTTTCCCTCTTTTAAATTGCCACCGTATCATCCGACTCTACTATTTTAACGGTTGACTAACGTCCGTTTGAGTCAATGTTGAATTCAACTATAAACACAGAGTATGGGTAGTTAATTTGAAATTTGTTACGAAAACTGTTGAAATAAACACCAACTCGTTGTGTGGGTAGGAAACGGAACCGTCCAAATAGGTCCTTTTTTTAACAAATGAACTGCCATGGTAATAAAGAAAGATTACTCTCCTAAATACAAACATTTTTTTTTTAACAAATGAACTGCCATGGTAATAAAGAAAGATTACTTTGTAAGCGTAGTAGTTGTATTGTATTTGTATGAGTGTTTAAATGATCAATTAGTGGAACTTATTTCCCCATTTGGATTAATTAGCGCAAACATTCTACAACAACTATTTTACTTAAAATTTTACAAAAAGGAGATATTCATTTAAAAACTCCATACTATATGATAGTTAATTTTTATTGTTTTGTATCTATATGTTTGTTTATTTGTGGTTCTCAAGGAGTGGGATTCCCTTTTTATTTTGTCGGAATTAATTACGGATTTTGCCCTTTTTTATAATGGCATTTATGGATTTTGCCTTTTTTTGAATAGTTTGTGGATTTTGCCCTTTTTTAGACTCCAAAAATATGATTTAACATGCGTTTCATTCGTTATGTTTGGGTTTAGTCGGTTCCATTTGTTCTTAGGGTTTAGTATTTGGTATAATGTACGTATTTTTGCAAAAAAAAATCATAAATACGTATATTTTTAAGTGTTAAAAAAGGGCAAAATCCATAAACTATTCAAAAAGGGCAAAATCCATAAATGCCATTATAAAAAAGGGCAAAATCCGTAATAATCCCATTTTGTCGGATTCAATTGTTGTTTTGTTGCTAAGATTCAATGAAAAAAGCTTGTACTTGACATTGCCATGAAACTTCCCATTATAGCTTTAGGATCAACATTTTTCAATCATCAATGATGTAAGGTTGTCTTGGCCCATATATATATATATATATCTTTTTCATAATCAATCAAGATCTTCCTAATTATTGGTTGTATAAGAAAATCATCAATTATTAGTTCAGGTTATAAAAAGTTCATAATTTTCTTTTAATACTCGGAAAAGAATATTGTGTGAACTGAAAGCGATATGTATTATATATATGTAATGTAGGTTTAACATATTTGTATCATATGGATTGAGAGCGAAAAAATGGCTTGTCAAAGTTACTTCTATATAATATCGCTACAAATGAAAATTATCGCTCCATGCATGCATTATCATATACATAATTAGCTTTTTAGATTGATAGACTAATGGTATATGGCCGTTAGGGTCTTCTTCACCGGCATCAATATTCGGTTCCATCTCTCTTTAGCAAAAGATTATAAGTAATTATGGCCCCAAGAAAGAAAAGTGGCATCCACGAAAATATGTAAGCGACTTTGCGTACGGAAGAACATGAGTTTCAATGTGCATGTACTTGAAAAATCCAGGTGACTAAGTTCTTTAATGTCCTTAAAAAATTGTTAAACTAATCAGTGACATACAAGATAATCGACAAGAATAAAAAAAAATAGTTTTTGTTTTCTCATACTTAAGGCCATTCTTTCAGTTATACATATATTATTATTATCAAATGATATATATACATGCATATTCATCAGAGTTGTGTTTTTTGTTATGTTAGAAGAGCATTTGTAAAAGACTAAAAAAAAAAAACTAAAACTAGAAGGTCATATTTATAAAATATTCACTCTGTTTTAAAATATAAAATGTTTTTGACATTTGTTTTTATAGTATAAGATGTTTTGGAGATTTTGATGCAAATTTAAGTGTATTTAAGAACTTGTGACTATTTATATTCACCAGAATTCTTCATGTTTAGCTGACTTTTTTTTTTAACTAAATAAATGATACTAATACTTGTTAAAACAAACAAAAAACTGTATAAATATGCATGTTTTTACCTTAAACAATTTATATTTTAAAACAGAGGTAGAGAGAATATTCTGTTATTTATATATTAAATAGATTTTAATCAATTTATTTAATTTGGTTTGGCATTTTGGTATAAAAAAATCGGTTTGGATTTGAATCGATAAATTTGGAGTTGATTAGCATTTTGCGCCCACCCTTAAACAAAACATTTAAAGTTTTCTATATTTCTTTCTTTTTTGATAAAATATTCTATAAATTATCTTCTGCAAATTGGAAAGATTGTAATTGTTAATGAACACAAATAGTCAAACCTAAACATCTTATTATATAAATCTCCTTTTTATGTAAATTAGATTGCGACACGTGTCCAAAAATTAAATATTTTTCTAATCAAATAGGAAAACTAAAAAAATATATATATCAAGTTACCTATTTTTCAAAACTTTCTTGCCATATTTATTCAATATTTAATTTTGCTAAATATTTTATTATAAATAAATGTAGTCAATAATTTTCAATCAATTTTTGTACTAATTCAATAATTATAAGAAAAGTTAACATACACTTTAGAAGTCAACAAGAGATAAAAAAAAAACATAAAGATAAAGAAAAAATTAAAATAAAATTGAAAAATATCAAGCCGAAAAATTAATGATTTACAAATTATTTTGGTTGAAATATTCCAAAAACGTTTAAATTAATTTATAACTTTCTATAAAAATGTAATGTAAAGATGAAAATACTTAAATATAACTAGAGGATTTAAGGACAAACCGTTAAGGTCTTAGCTGCTTGAAGACCGCTAAGATAACCAGAATAATTTAACCGGTTATACGGGTTATTGACTTGGTTCATCATATTTATCCTCTACTACAAAATCGAGTTTACTTTTTTTATGATCACATTCATTCTCTTGACATCACAAATTTATAAAAGAATGAATATGATCATAAAAGAAGCGTACTTGGATTTTGGGGTAGAGGGCGAATACGATGAACCAATTCAATCAACTCAAATTAACAATAACTTTTTTCTCGCTACCTTAATAGTTTCCTAGCAGCTAAGACCTTAACGTCATGCCCTTAGTTTCATCTTGTAGAAAAAAAATATTTAGTTTTGAGAACTAAAATGCATACATAGAAAAATATAAGTAAAACGACGAGAATGTTGCTAGCTGACTACAAAAAAAATCCAATGGATAATTTGGGATTCCCTATTTCATTCCCAACCTTTTCATTTACCCATTTGAGGGTAATACTTGGAATTGAACGAATAAATACATACATATATATATATATATATATATATATATAATAATAATTTATGTCCTCGATAAAAATTATTCATGGATCTGCCATCTGAGTCCTACCAACTTATTTGGTATTATTATTAACGTAATATGTTTTTTTATTGACTATACATGTTTGTGGTAAAAAAGTTGACCAATTATTTTTTTTAAATAGAAACGTATTAAATTTTTTATTTTGACGGATATTTTAAGGAAGAAAATATATTGACCGAAACATTGGGGGAAGGTATTTTAACCAAATTAACCAAACCAACTAAAATGTGAACTTTGTTATTCACTTTAAGTTTAAATATATGATTTTGTGTATTTTGGTATTATCTTTTGTTATTTTATTTTATTTAGTTTTGATATTGATTTTGTTGTTGTAAGTTGTAACTTATATTACGATTATATAACTTTAATATGAAAATTGTATTATGATTTATATAGAAATATTCCATTTTAAGATAAATGGATTATATAAATTAAGATAAGGGTTATAACATTAAACAAATTAAATGGTGGTGGTGGTTGTATTCAAGTTCAATCTTTCTCATATATTAATTAAAATATAATTTCATTATTTTTAATTTTTATTATTCTAAGCTTGATATCTAAAAGAACTGTGAAACCATGGTAATCATTTTAGCAAAATTGTAACTAAATTTCATGGATATTTTAAGATAAATAAGTTGTATGTGATATTAGTAGCAATATATTTTTTTAACACTTAGTAGCAATATATTTTTGTTATTAAATTAGCCTCAAAAATATATTTCAAATTTTCTTTAATTAATTTATGAAACTAAATAAAAATTTGAATTTTCGATTCTGAAAGCTTTAATACTAACTTGTATAATTTTAAGTGTTAAAGTAAAACACTCTTATTATAAATTAATCTTTTAAAATATATTAAAGTCAAACAGATAATCAGATTCATAGTTAATTCAACTGAAAGTAAATATAATATTTACACAAAATTGCAAAAAATTTTTTTTTTTTAAATAAGCATTTAACTGTTAACCTGAGTATCACGCGAGTCTTAATCTAATTAAACAATAATCTTAAGAAAAGATTCAAAAATTTGATATTTTATTCACGACCGAACAAAAACAAGACACAAGATCGGTCTCGCCACCTTACCACCAATCACAATATCAGCAAGATCGTTGGGTTCTTATAAGTAGAAGAGGAAATCAAATGCGGACAAAATAGGGTAGACAGAGAGAATAAAAAGACAAATGGTGTAAGTGATTTTGTCCTTTTCAGTGAATGACTTTTTGAAACCACCACAAGCTTTAGTGTGTTTATCGAGAAGGTAAAAGCTCGTGAGAAGGCACACACTACCTCCGGTATATCTCAGGTCGTCTCTGAATGCTTCCACAAGTTCATTTGGTGTAGCCACAATAAGAAGAATCGCTGCACTTGGGATATCTAGCGATTCTGCAAGTTGTTATTAACTTATAGTTAAACAATACACAAAAAGACTTGAACCAATTCTTAGGGTTGAGAAAAAACACCATTAGCGTAAGCACCAAACCGAAACTGAACCAAGCTGTTTATAAATCGTTCTGTTTCATTATTGTAAGATCTGGACAACAGAAACCGAACTGAAACCATCGTTTTGTATAACTGACCCAAACCAAACAAATGTAAAGAAACCAAAATTATTAAACCTTTAACACTTTAAAATGAAAATTTTACCAAAAATAGATACAATCAAATTAATAATTTTCTAAAACAACTTATTATTTCTTGCAATTTTAAAGTTACTTTTAAACAAAATTGAACGGTAACTACATCAAACCATAGTGAATTACAAATGGTTTTATATGGTTCACTTTATGTCAGAACAAAAAACCAAATCCCGAACCAAACCGTATACTGGATTGTCCACCTCTACAGTTTGATCGAATGATTATTTATAGGATATCCCAAACTGTTCTCTTGCTTTACTATATATATATATTAGAAACTTCATTTGAAGATTAATAACGTCGTAATTAATATTGTTCTCAACGTTATAAGATTGCGTACCAGGAAAATTGTTTGGTAAAAAAAGCCTGAGAACAACGGTGAGCAGAGCGATCCATTTCCCAAACCCGGTCCTGCGAACACACATTGAATATTCAATCCGTTACATGCTCAACAACAACAACAACAACAAATTAAAGGTTACTTTGTGTGTATTGATTGTTACCTCAAGAACTGGAAAATAACAATAGGAAGGCTAGAGAAGAGGTAAGGAGCTAATAGTGAAGTCATTATGTTGTTTGAGTACTTCCATTTGGTTCGATCCAATATCATCAGAAAACTTCACCCAAAAAATAATTAAAGTAATAAACACAAACCACAAAAAAAAAAAGGAGAAAACATAAATCCAAATGTTTTAAACATGAAAGATATGACTGACACTGCAACGAAGGACGTGACCCATCTTAGGAACAACATGACCATATCTGGGACTCCATAGCTGTGGATTAGCTTCCCTGCAGCGGCTTGGACCTCATTCAGAAACTCAATCTTTTCCATTTTTCAATATAAAATAAAAGAAACCAAAATACAAAAAAAAAAACAGAAGCAGAGCAGAACTCAAGTTATAAAAAGGAACAAGCTAAGAAGACCCAAAACTTTAACAAAGAAGACCCAAAACTGAAGTCTTCGTCTTTGTGGCTACTTTCTTAATATTCAAAGATGACCTTGTGCATATGATTATGTCATTGTCATTTGTCACGGACTGCTATAATTATTTTTAAGCCATCCGTAGTTGAAAAAGTCTTGAGAAGATATTTCCAAAACTACATTGCAAAATGCTAAGATATTCTTTAGCAAAATAAAAATGCTAAGATATTTAAATATCTTAAAAATAAGTGATAAATTTCTGAAATTTCTACATTTCGGTGTAAAATTTGGTCTTCCACATGTAGTGATAACTTTTTTTACTGGTTTGGGGTTTTCTGCCCATGGAGACTTGGAGTGATATAAATGGTTGTTGTCTTGCCAAAGAAATGTTGTGGTTTAAAAACTAAAAAATCATTGTTATAATTTTAAAATGTGAATTTTGTTATTCACTTTAATTTTAAATATATGATTTTGTTTATTTTGGTATTGTCTTTTGTTATATTTTTTTAGTTTCGATATTTATTTTGTTGTTGTATGATTACGGGTAATCTTTGTAATTTGAATCTAAATGGGCCTGGTTATCCTACCTGGTCCATAGGCTCTGTCTGGAGCTTCCTTCGCTATGATCTGCGTTTTCATTGTTTCCTGAGAGATATTTTTTAGTGGAATCTTGGGTCTTTTTGTGAAATAGATTTGAAATAGAAAATTTTGAGGCTGAAAGTGGATTTGACGTACGTTACGTTCCATTATTCTTTAATTAAAATCTTTTTTGTTACCCATTTTTATCAAAGAATCTCAATGGAGATGACGTGTCACGTCATTTGACAATGAAATTATTTTGTTATCTTGTATATTATCAAATTTTTTCGAATTTTCTATTTCACATCTGAGAGTCTTTTTTTCTTGTGTTATCTAAAAAATGGCTTCCACTGTTTCGCTTTCTTTACTCAGCGGCGGTGGTGGAGCTCTTCAGGCGCGTTGCACAAGAAATGTGCATGTTAGCCCACGAGCGGCGCATTCTAACAAACCCGCGCCTCCATCGTTCTCACTAACCGGCGCATCTCGCAGGAATCTCCTCTTTTCCCTGACGGCAGCGACGGTGATGACAGGACTTCAGTCGGCATCAATGGCGGAGAATATTCCTTTTTTTGGTATAAGAAAGAAGCTGAATAAGGCAGAAGAAGAAGCGGTGGAGATCGTGAAGGAAGGCTTTGAGACGGCGGAGAAAGGTGTTGATGCGGCGGAGAGAGGATTAGAAGCGGCGGAGAGAGGTGTAGAGTCGGCGGAGAAGGAAATCGTGACGGCGGTTAGCTTTAATGGATTGACACAAGCCGGAGCCGTTGTGGCGGCTGAGTTCGTCGGGGTTCTTGTCGCTACGTCAGTGGTGAATGGGATTTTAGGACCAGAAGCCCAGAAATCTTAGGATAAATCTAATGCTATATGTGTACTTTTTATGTTGGAATTAAAGAAAAAGCTGTCTAAATTTTTGTGTTAATTAAGTTTTGTAATATCATAAACTCTATACATGAAAAAGATCAGAATTATGTGGTCTATTTTGTTTCAGTTTTTTTTAGTTTTATTTTTGTCGGAAGTAACTAAACTGTGTGGCTCTTAGTATAGCTTTAGGCTGTTAATGGAGAAAAAAAAAAATTGACCACATAAGATCGACACAGAGATCGAGTTTAAATCTGGGCGGTGGACAAAGGCGAAGAATCCGATCTACTAGCGTTGTCGAAAACAAGGGCCACTGCTTTGAGACATTGTCGTCAGATCGAACTATTGCTTGGAGTTTTCGAATCCCTGCTCCGATTCAAAACCGACTTCAAGACGAACCCGCAACAATCCTTACGACATAGATTAACTTTCTGACACTCCGCCACCCAATTTGTCGAGTCCTCACCAAGCAAAACGACACACAGATCTAAGCCCCCAACCTCCGGTGCCGAGAACCGAGATCCTTCTCCGAGACACAACAATTTCAAACCCGGAACGATGGAAGCAACCCACGGCAGCTATACAGAGGTGATGGCTCAGTCAACCTCGCAACAGCCGGAATCCACGAAAGCCTTTTCAGATCCAAGAAGAACCTGCTGTTAACCATCGAAATAAGCAACAAAACCCCACCTGTCCACAAAACGACTTCCGCCGCGGCAATAACATCCATCCCATCGGTTGAGCCGTGAGAGGCTCTACCGCAATTCCTTCTGGCGTCCTCAAACCGAGGAATCAGATCAGGAACTCTCTCCTCCACCGGGAAAGAACCACCGCTGCATCGTCTAATGGACCTCCACCCATGCCGCTAACGGATAGAAGTGTCTGCCTCACTCCTACTAAGCATTTGAACTTCTCAGGTCCTTTACTGAAGATCAATGCCTAACAAGAACCTAGATCTGGGAAAAAAAGAAGAACTTTCGAGAGAGAGAAAATTTTCTTCCCATTTTCTTCCCCACCAAAACTGCATGTTTTGCTCATGGTTTGATTTCGGTGTGAGGTTTTTTTTTCGGTTTTACTGGTGCTTCCGGTGTTCACAAATTCTATGAGAAAGCTTGGTGAGAGTCTAGTTCCTTTGTTCAATTATAGACTTTAGGTTTCATTTTTTTTGTGTGTGTTTATCTTCTTTAGATTTTTGTTTCTTTCTTTATTTTTTTATAGTTAATCTAAACCAATTTTCCCGTTTTGTTGGGACTTTGTTTCTTTTTTTTTTTGCTAAATTTTTGGAGATATCTTGTTCGTCTGTCGGCTAAGATAATTTCAACTTGTATCTTTTATTAGATTTTTAATACAATTCAGATGAAAAAAAATATTTTTCTACATGTACCGCAGTTGGACGGTACCAAACTTATTTTATTATATATAGAGACTGAAAAAAATTAATATTTTTTAACTTACTACTATAATATATCTAAAATCCTATACTATTGTTATGGAAGTACATTAAAGAAAAATGCCCTTTGCAAGATATTACATAAGAATAGCATTGGAGATAAAATTTAAAAGAGTAAACTAATTTATCTCATTAATAATAAACAAGTCAAATACTAATTTATGTAATTTAATCAAATTATAAAAACAAAACTACATTATTAATTAAAAAAATGACAAATCAAAATGAACATATAAGATTTGATATATAACTTAGCAAATTAATTTGTTATTAATCATTATACTTCACTTCTCATCTTGATATACGGGTCGGATTCGGGTAAAACCTGATCGGGTACGGGTGTTTCGGGTAGAGGAGCTTAGGACCCAATTGGGTAAATGAAAAAAATCGGTTCGGTTTCGGTTCGGGTCCTTTCGGGTTCGGGTATAGATTTTCAGAACCGCTAAATATCCGCTATATAAATGTTCGGGTTTTCAGGTAAATACCCGGGTTTTGGGGTAAATACCCGGGTTTTCGGGTAAATATTTGGGTTTTCGGACAAAAATTCAAATTTTGGGTTTTCAAAAAAAAATTCGGGTATTTTCGAGTTCGGATTCGGGTCAGATTTAGGTTCGGGTTTTTGGATATATGAGTTTAGGACTCAATAGGGTAATTCTAAAATTTTTGATTCTGATTCGGGTCGAATTTTTTGGGTTGGTTCCGGTTTTGTTACTCGATTCTAGTTTTTTTTGCCCAGCCCTAATCTAGTTTCTCATTATTTATTTGAACAGTTAATGTAAAATGCTAAAGAATGTAGTATATTATTTTTTAGATTCTGAATTTGAAAGTTAAATTCAAGGCCTAGTAAATTTCAAGAATAATCAGTTAAAAACAGAAAAGCAATATTTAAAAATAACTAACTTTTACTCCAATGCAAATGAATTTGATTTTCTTCTCCTCTCAAAATTGAATTAGTCTTCTACTAATTATGCAAATTAAAATATCAGAGCTAGCTTATCTCTCGTATATATAGATTAATTTGGCTGAAAATTGATGTAACATAATCATGTCTTTTTTATAAAAATAATTAATTAAATGTTCATAATTGTGTTTTTTTTTGTTTGAGAAAATTGATCAAAACATTCGAAGGATGATCAAAATGTCCTTTTCTTGTTCTTGGTTTCTTGTGTTTAAAGCTAAAACGTATATGATTGTGTGTTTTTTGTGCTTCAAGATATATCTTACATGTCCTTTTCCTTGGCCTCTATGTCTGAATTCCATTTTTTTTAAATAGTGTTGTGTTTTGAAAGAGAATGGCTTCAACACCTTGTACAGCATGCAAGCTCTTGAAGCGTATATATAGATATATTTAGAATATTTACAGCAAGCGACATGTTAAATGTAATGTATTATATTATAAAAATAGTTATGATCTTTATAACAAACATGTTAAGATTATATGTTGAGATGGGTAAAATAAGGTTTGACATAATTTGATAATTTGATTATGGAAGCAACTTTAAATAATAAATGATGGATTGTGTACGTAATGTGTTCATTGAGATTCTAAAATGAAAACATAGACTCCATGCACGAGTTGAATTTAGTATTATTATATACCAAAAATATGTTCATAACATATTTAGTTATGCGAATAATTGCTAAATTCAGTAAATAGCTCAAACAAATCTCTATTTCAATAACCAAAAAATTACAAATTGAAAAAGGAACGTCCTAAATTAATTTAAAATAATAGCTAACTTCCTTAATTGACTTAAAATAATCTACGTTTTTAGATGCAACTCATTTATGATATTTTAATTTTTGATCTAATTGAATTATAATTTATTCAAATTTTAATTTTCTAACTCATTGTTCAAACAATATTAATTTTTTAAAAGTAATAGTACTTTCCATTTTCTTATATCTTAAGAAAAATTATCCATAATTAATTATTATATAAAAAAGGAAAATATATTCATTCTAATATTATATATAGGAACAGACAAAAAAAAAATATTTTTTACACTTACTACTGTAATATATCAAAACTTTATTCTAAAATTTGTAATAGATAAAATTCAACCCGTGCTATAGTACGGGTCATGATCTAGTTTTTCATTATTTATTTGAACAGTTAATGTATAATGCTAAAGAATATAGTATATTATTTTGATTCTGAATATGAAAGTTAAATTCAAGACCTAGTAAATGATCAAGAATAATCAGTTAAATACAGAAAATCAATATCTAAAAATAACTAACTTTTACTCCAATGCAAATGAATTTGATTTTCTTCTCCTCTCAAAATTGAATTAGTCTTCTACTAATTATGCAAATTAAAATATCAGAGCTAACTTATCAGATAACACTTCAAATTTGATTTTCATTCCTTTGTTCAATTATAGAGCTTAGGTTTCATTTTTTCTTCGTGTTTATCCTCTTTAGTTTTTTTGTTTCTTTGTTTGTTTTCTTATAGTTGATCTAAACTAATTTTCCCGTTTTGTTGGGACTTCGTTTTTTTTTTCGGCTACATTTTTGGGATATCTTGTTCGTCTGTTTGTACAGAACCGCTTCATGCCACTTATGTAAACAACATTTCCCAGAAATGACTCTTCTGAGCTCTATTTAATTTCAGATGACAAAAAAAAAATTTCAATATCATACATTTTTTAAAAATGTATAATTTTATATACTACAATAGACATTTTAAATATTTTAATATGTAACCTTTAAAAATAGTTTTACTTGATTTTTTAAAGAATATTGTGGAAGTCGAAACTAACACAATCGAGATTTGTCTAGGGTTTTAATTTAGGGATACGATAAATGTGAATTCTCAAAGAACAACAGAAACAATTGTAACCAAAGATGGTGTTCTTGATCTTATTGATGAAAAAGTAGTTTTGATCGTACAAGAGTTTGATCGTAAAAGAAAAGATGTTTGTGCTATGAGAGCTTTGCGTAGTGTAAATTCTAGAGCGATATTGCTTGTCCCCTTCTGTGAGAGCCTTGAGTCTTCTTATATAGGGATGGTAAACCGCCTCTCCAGCGATATTCTCGGAAGATTTCCATTTATCTTGAAGTCCGCTTAGAATATCGCGGATTAGGATAGTTTCCTTATTCTTCGGGGTTTTCGGAAGTTTTCCTGATTTGAGTTGATCCTTCGAGATTCTCCCTTATCATTTCCGGGCATTTCAGAAATGATCCCTCTTTTTCGGAAATGATGCCGTTCTTTTCGGAAGTGATACTATGGAAGTGATTTTTTAACCAAGTCTTTGCCTCGGGTGACTCTGAAGACTTCACCTCAGGTGACTCTGATGACTTCACCTCGGGTGAAACTGAAGACTTCGCCTCGGGTGACTTTGCAGATTTCGCCTCGGGTCACTCTGAAGACTTTGCCTCGGGTGACACTAAAGACTTCGCCTCGGGTGACTTTGCAGACTTCGCCTCGGGAACAATACACATTTCACCTCGGGTAGCACTGAGACTTTGCCTCAGGTAGCACTGAGCCTCGGGTAGCACTGAGCCTCGGGTAGCACTGAGACTTTGCCTCGGGGTAACTGCAGTATAAGGCTCGGCAGTGTACCCCGAGCTGACTGTGTACCCCGAGCTGACTGGCAGACTGACTGGCAGGTTACCCGAGCTGACTGGCAGACTGACAGGCAGGGTACCCGAGCTGACTGGCAGACTGACTGGC